TCTGTATCAATAAGCAAAATATAATCAAAATCCCGTCGATTCGATTTGACTAAAGAACCATAAATACCTCTTGTACAACGTCCTTCTCTGACATCAAATAATGTACCAAATGTATAATTTAATAATGTACTTTTCCCAGTATTTTGTGAACCAATAATACTAATAACTAATATTCGTTCGAAAGCAAAATTGTTGAAATTTTTGTTAAAAATTTTTCTTAAAAATTCATGTTGAAAATGAAAATTATCACCGTCAATTATTTCAAATGGGAAACCAGCTGCAACAAAATCACTATAAGAATTTGTTATTAAATTTTGTATATCATTTGTAGCATGACCATAACAAACAATTGAATTTCTCCAAAGTACATCTAATGATAAAAATGCATTTTCAACTGATAAATCACTGATCGATTTATTACCACTCAAACTTGATAATTCATATTTCAATTCTGATGATAATAAGTCTAAACTCATAAGTCTAAACATATTGTCTGATTTGAATACTTCAATGAATGAATAAAAAACATAGCCGCATTTAATTGATGAAGATGTTTTTGTATGCGGATCTAATTCATTTTCTAATTCGTATATTTTTTTATGAATTTCTAATATAGTTTTACTTTCTTCATAAAAACTAAATCGTTTTAGTTCTCGTCGTAATTTACATAATTCTTGAAACTTTAAGTATAATGGAAAGTTTTGTTGATTTTGATATTCGTTCTTTTGTAATAAACAACTTTTTAATGGTTGAATTATTTTATTCATTTTTTTCAAAGATTCAGCATAATCTTTTTCCATCAGCTTTTGTAAGTTTAGTAATATTTCATCTTTATCATTGATTATTTGTATTTTTTCGTTTATTTTTTTAAATATTTCTTTACGTAAATGTTCAATAGCTAAGACACTATTTCGATTATCTGTATTGGAAATGTTTATTAATGGATAAACATATAATTGTTGTGATAAATCCGATTCAGATTGTTTCAGTGTTGTATTAATTTTCAGTGAACATTCTTGTAAACTTTGTTTCGGTGTATCACGTATAATAATCATTTGAAATTTTTCTTCTGATAAAAGTTCAATATATTCAAGTAAAGCTTTTGGTTGCTGATCGAAATATGTTTTATCAATTTGTATTAAAAATTCATCAAATAATTTGTGAATTTTACGTAATAATTTTTTTTCTATTTGACCATGTGTATCAGCAATATTTATTATTTGTTCAGAATCAAAAAAATTATAACGAAAATCAATATCAATTGTTTGTTGAAAATAAATACTATTAACGCTTTGTTCGAATGTCGATTTAAATAATTTATTTAATAATGTTGATTTACCATGACATGGACCAATACCAAATGATAATATCGTTGGTCTTGTATAATTCCATACATGAATTATATCAAGGACAAATTCATATTGTTCATTTTTATTCCCATGAACAATATTTGGTGAAATAAATGGTACAGGATTACGTTTACTTAATAAAGACATTAGAATTCGTCTTAAAAATAAATCAGAATTCATAAATAAAACATGTAATAACATTCGTAAACTTAGATTTATTGTTTCTTTTGATTGATCATTCATACGTTGTTGCATTTCTACATATTTAAATTTTAATGTATTGAGAAAATCATCTAAATTTGGTTGTCGTTTCAATAAATACATAATTGGCGTTAAAAAACCTTGAATAAATTCTGGAAATGTATGTTGTTTATCATTGATGATATCAACTAATGTTTCTGATATATCGTTCAATATTTGATTAAGATATTGGAATCCACCACATTGTACTAAATCTTTAAATTGAAATAGATTTGATTGTTCACATATGCAACATAAAATAATTTTTAATTCAGTCGTATTATTATCATTGATAGTCATTGATTGATATTGTGATGCTGTTGTTGAATCAGTATTAATTAAATGTCCTACTGTTGTATTGATTTGATCATTAACTACAAAATATCATTATCAGAATCTATTTTGATCTATTCTTCGCCAAGTATCACTTTCTAAAGTTTACAGAATCTCAGAAAAAAAAAGCAGTACGAAAACATCAATCCACATGTATTCATCTATAAAAAAGAGTCATTTTTTTGCTAATATAAAGAATAAGTTAGCATCGAAAAATATCACAAAAACATTGCTCATCATAAGTTCACTTTTGAAGACTTTTTGATAGTTTGAAATACGAGACAAATTAAAAGTAACGTGCCCGTAATTCGAAGTTTCCATGACTTTTTCTTTTTAACATATTTATACATGATTAGATACAGGACATCGAGCTGTGTAAGAAAAGTTAGTATTAAATTTTGAAAAATTTTTCGGGGTGAAAGTTTTGAAAAACTTTAAAGGACCGACTTTGCTCAAAATCGCTACAGTTTCAAAAAATTCAAATTTTGCATTTTCTCTTTACTTCCAAGTTTTGAAACTAATTTTTTTGCATTCAGCACTGAAAACTGAGTATAGACAAGATGTTTGATCGATCTCAAACCTAACAGCTCATATAGCCTGCTTCACTTGAACTGACCCTCCAAAACGACAGCGAGTCATTTTGCAAACATTCCTTTACTACTGAAGCCATTTTAAGTACATTTTCCGAAGTAAAGTAATTTTTATTTAAAAACTTCTTTAAAGAGTTTCCTTAATTATCCTTAATCGACCGCTTCATTATAGACTTATTATTAATATTCTATCTATCTATATATTCTATGTCTTCTTATTAGACTTCATTATTTAATATTCCACTTTCAGCTGCTTTTTATTCTAATAGATATACTTGCAACGTCGATGACTATGGAATGATTTTCCCACATTCATTTGTGGGAAAATTTCAGCTTATTTTATCTTCGTTTGATGAGCTACCTGTCCTACAAATATTAATCAACCCGGTGATATCGAACATACAGGGTGCCACATAATCTTTGCCTCCCCCTTCTACAACCTAAAGGACAGATAATATCAGAAAGTATTTATACCAGGTTAAAGCCCATGAAAAACTGGATTTATGAGTGTAATTGATATTCCGTATGATGTTTAT